ATTGGCACAGGACAGAGCAGAGTTTAGGGCTGTTGTACATAGGGTCGCTATGAGTCGCAAGCGACTCGACAGCACATAACAACAATACTCTAAACCTTACTATCACTTTTGTGCCTGTCCTGTGTGTTTATAATATATTGTTTGTTGTTTTTCTTGCTGTTGAGTTGTTGCTTAGGTTTGGATTTTTGCTTGGGCTTTAGCTTGTAAAATTGGGATATGTAGTCTTTTGTGTAAGAGAAGAAAACTGTCAACAGGCTAGATTGGCATGGTGGCTGTAACAATAGGCTTGAGTATATCAGAGATGGTGAGGATGGTATAAGATAGGGCAAAGTTCAGATCCATTGTTTATAGGCTTGCTATGTGTCACTGTTGATTCAGCAGCGTGTAACAACAAACAGTAGTCTGGGAATTGCTTTTCCCCCAATAAAACCCATCCATAAAGGCTCAACTATGTTTTTACAACTATGTCACTATAGTTCTCATTTTCACTGCTAGATATTTGATTTCACAAATATACCATAAGGTGTTTATCTGTCCCTTTTATAATCATTATCTCTTATACATATCTTTGGGAGTACATGTATGAGTTTCTCTAGGTCTTAACTTGTGGTCTAGGAACCTCAGGGTCCTTGGGATTCTTTTAGATGGTCAACAAGTCGAATTCTTTTCATATAACTGAGACGTTGCTCCTTGAACTCTTTTCTCTCACAGTGTTACACTGAAGTGTTCCAGGGGTAGCATGACTTAGATGATATAACAGACTGAAAACAGAAGCAAACCTAAGGATTTAGTTCTCATTTATTAAACCTGACACAAAAGAGATTTGAAGAAATATATTAAATATATTAAAGAGTGCCACTTTTTTCCTGAAACATTGTTTTAGAAAATGACATTTTCATTAAAAATAAGTCCTCTGATGGTATGAAATTGTGCTGCCATCCCAAAGACTTATGGTTCGAATCTGCTGCTCTGCTGGAGAAGGATGGGCGGTCTCCTGGGCAGTTAAACTGCCTCTGAAAACCTGCTGGAGGGCCCGCTTATGGGTCAGTCCCCGCTCTATGGCACGTAACAACAGCTACGTTATAGTTATATAATTAAATATTCTTAAATGTTTTAATTTAATTTAATTTCTAATATGGTAAATATTTATAGATAAAATTCACATAAGCAAAATCTATCTGTAATTCTTTTTCTTTTTAAGAATATTTTTTATTTTACTTGAGATTTTAATGAAAGTTTATTGAGAACTTTTATTTCAATTCAATCATTGTTGCACATTTTCCTCCCTGTCCTGCCCCCCGTTTGCTTTTCACTGTGAAAAAATTCTTTCATTGTTGCACAATTTCCTCTCCCCACCCAAATCCACTAGAATATAATTTTTAAGACTATAGAGAAGTCCTGAGACCAAAAAATCTGAAAGTAGTTCTAGGTTATACCCCTAATGGTAGAAGTAAAAGACCATTGGGTATGTAAGAATACTAGATTGCTCTATAAAGTGTTTGGGTTTGTTTGGTTTTTTAAAAAATGTTTTTTTATTCCACTAGCAGTATACAAACAAATGTGTGTACCATCCTTGCTGACAAACAGTTATATCTTATTTTAGTTTTATGTACCTCCTTTGATTATTCAAGAGGATAAGTGTCCATCTCATGTTGCCTGACCACTTTGTTTCCCTTTCTGAAATGTCTATTCATGTTCTTTGCTAATTTTTACTGTTTTGTTTTTCTTCTCTAATTGATTTATGTTTTTGTTATTGTTGATTGGCTTGGAATCCAGGACCACTCATAGCAACCCTATGAACAAAAGGCCTGAAGCCTTTCTATAACTATCGACATTTATCAAAGTTCATAGAGTTTCCAGAGGGATATTGTTTAGGAAGAGGATCCAGGCCCAGAACAGAAAGTGGATCTCTTATTTTCTTCACTTGAAGTTTCTTTGTAAGCTTACATCCTTACATTCTATTTTGAAATTTTGAAATAATTTCATATATTCTATGAGTCTTTGGTCTGGCTAATAAATGGTGCCAACATAATTTGTTCATTCATTCCTCTCTCTTTTCCTCAATTGTCAATGCTTTCTGGTTATATATTAAAATTTCATTTATATGTAGGTCCATTTCTGAATTCTTCCATCAGTCAAATAGTCCTTTCTTGTCTGTTGTTGTTATGTGCTGTTGAGTCATCTACGACCTTATGTACAACAACTCTGAAGCCTGCCCTATCATGAACCAGTCTCACTGATTCTGTCATGTAAACCCCCGTTGTCCTAGTTACTATATCATCCATCTCATCTAGGATTTCCTTTTCCTCTCCTGTGCCATCCCGCCACCCTTTGGAGCATGATGTCCTTCTCCAAGGACCAGTTGGTCCCTTCTGGCCAGGTGCCCAAAATATGTAATACGGAGCTTCAAAATCCTTGCCTCCAAGGAGAAAACTTGGTTTCACCCTCTCCAAGACAGACCTGTTTGTTTTCTTGATGGTCCATTGTATGTTCAAGACTCTTCTGCAGTACCCCCACTCAATCAATTCTTCTTCTGTCATCAATTCTTCTTCTGTTATCCTTAGTCATTTTCCAGCTCTTTGATGCATAGCATAATTGAAAGACCATTGCCTGGATCCAGGCACACCTTAGTCTCTAGATTGACATTGTTGCTTCTCAGTACTCTGGAGAGGTCCCTGAAGCAGATTTTCCCAATGCAGTCCATCTTTTGATTTCTTGACTGCTGGTGTCAAAAGTGTTGACTGTGTAGCTGAGCAAGCTGTAATTGTTAGCAACCTTATTCTCTTCTCCATTTATCTTGGTGCTGACAACTGGCCCAGTGGTGAATATCTTTTTCTTCTTGATGATGAGCTTCAATCCATATTGAAAACTATAGTCCTTGATCTTCTGCAGCAATAATTTCCAGTCCTCCTCCGTTTCAGCAAGCAAGGTTGTGTCATCTGCATAACACAGGTTGTTGATCAGTCTTTTCTTCATTCCTGATGCCACAGTCCTCCTCATAAAGCTCAACCTCCCAAATGATCTGTTTTTGTATATAGATTGAAAAGTTATGGAGGCAGGATGTATCCTTGGAGTACTCCTTTCCTGATTTTGATCCATGTAGTGTTTCCTTGCTCTGTTCTAAGGACTGCTTCCTGGTCTGAGTATAGGTTTCACATGAGTACAATACCATATTAAAGTAAGCTTTGCTATAAGATAAAGTGATGTTTCCTCCTCTCACTCCTTAGAATGGTCTTGGCTCTTAGATCTTATTTTTTCATCTGTTCTTTAAATGTGATTCTAATTAGCATTATGTTGAATCTTATATTAATTAACATTTATATGACCTTGAGTCATCTATCCATAAGGATAATTTCTTTTATGAACATAAAATTTGGTAGATTCCTAAAAATTTTATCATTTTTATTACTGTTATAAATAACTTTTAATTCATTTTCTGTTTTGGTTATATAGGAATGCAGCTTTTGATCTTATTTTCAATGACCTTGCTGAGTTCTCTTATTTCTTAAAATGTTTGTAAGTTTCTGTTGTGTCTTACAACCTTATTTTCTATAGAATGAAAATTTTCTCTTTCCTTTTTTTAATCCTTTCATCTTTTTCTTGTCTTTAAGAAAACTGGCAAGGATCTCAAATATGATATAGAAGAAATAATATGATTAAGAATATCCTTATAATTTTCCTGATTAGTGAATGCTCCCAACATTTTTTCATGAAGACAAGTATTTGCTGTTGAGTTTGCAAGAATGTGCTTTCATAGGCTATAAATTGCACCAGAGGAGACTACCCATCTTTCTCCTGAGGAGTAAAGGATGGATTCAAACCATTTGCCTATGGGTTGGCAGTGCAATTCCTTACCCACTAGACCACCAGAAGTCCATAGCAAGGGTTTATTGTTGCTTTGTTATGTACCATCAAGTCAAAACCAACCCGTAGCTGTCCCTCCAGCAGGTTTCCAGAGGCAGTAAATCACATGGGAAGAGATTGCCTATTTTTGTCCCATAGAACAGCTGGTGGCGTGAAATCAAGTACGTTTGCATTAGCATTGCAATTCTTTACCTGTTAACCACCAGAGCTCCCTGGCAAGGTTTTAACAGCCTGTAAATCACTGGAATCTTTACTTTCTATGCCATTAGTCTCAGTTTCAAATTGCAAAGGAGAAAATATTTAAGCCAGAGGAGAGAATAGGCAAAATATTTCTAAAATTGGATTATAAAATCACTTTAACCAGAATCAAGGGTGGAATAACCGCTACTCACTATTATGGTTTATTCATTAGGATATTAACTGTTGCTTCTCCCTTCTGTGTGCCCTCTGTAGCTCGATGTTGTTGGGGACGGTGCTGTGGATGAATTTGAAAAGCAAAGGCCAAGCAGAAAACAGAAAAGTTTAGGACTCCTGTGCCAGAAGTTTCTAGCTCGCTACCCAAGTTATCCCTTGTCAACCGAGAAAACGACTATCTCCCTAGATGAAGTTGCTGTCAGTCTTGGTATGTATTATCAGCTTACCTGGAGGCCTGTCTCCAGTTACAGCCTTGGGGAGGCTGAAGGCCTCAGGTAACACTTCTTTAAAAAAAAAAAGCAAAGAGTGAGCCCTCCAAAAATATGAAGACAGGAGCAGGCTGAGCTAGCAAGTTCCTCTTCATTATGCATAGCTCTCAAGGACCCTTATTGGCCCCAAGTGTTAAAAAAAAATTTTTGGTTTTTTATTTTCATGTTATAAAGTACTTTTATGAAATTATCTTCATTATAAACTAATATTTTCATTTTATCTTATGTCCGACATGCTAAAAACTAGTTTAGAAATATTCTGCTATTTATTTTTCATAGTGCTTCTAGGAGTTCAGAATTGGTGTGATTTTCTTTATAAAAGCAAGATTTAAGAGCACAAGCATTAAGTCTGAGGTACTGTAATAGAATATTTACATCAAGCCTGTGAAACTAGAAAAAACAAAATAAAATCCATTTAGATGTAGCTCAAAAAAGCAAACTTTATAACAAAGAGGGATATATGTGTTCCCATGGCAAGGACAGGATGTGACTATACATGTCTGTGCAGCTGCTTCAGAAGAGAGACCCCTAGTGGGCAGTTGGTTTCAAAGCAAACATTGTTGATACTCAGCAGAAATCACAATGTGTCCTGAAAAAGAAATTTTACGGACAGAACCAAAAAGAAGAACCAAATCAAACCCCATTGCCATTCAATTGACGCCAACTGTAACAACCACAGAGGACTGAAAAGAACCTCCCCATAGGATTGCCAAGGCTGTAAATCTTTATGGAAGAATTTGCTACATCTTTCTCTGACAGAGGACATGTTAGGTCTCCATCACCAGCCTGTCAGTTAATAGCTTAGTGCTTAACCACTGTATCACCAGACTCCAAAAAAAAGAATAATCTAGATAGGTTTTATGGTAAGTTATAATTTTTGTTTGTTTATTGGCTCTGTTTCTTAGTCCAGGGAAATGTGCCATAGTAGATAACTGTCAATCTAAATTATTCAAGCAGATGACTGAAAACATTTTCATTTTTAGAAGCTAAGGTAATAAAGAGGAAGTTGTCTTTGATGGGAAGACTGTGGACTGATCTTTGGGTTAAAACAGAACTGGATTTAAAGCCCAGTTCTATAGTTTACAGGCTATGGGAACTGAAAAAGGTATATAGACTATAACATAGCCCTGCAGAGACATAGCAGTATTTGGAGAGAATGTCAGGAAAGTTCCTAATTTAGTTCATTGCATAAGAAACACTTTATTATGTGGAACAGATTCTCTTCAGCTTATGTTAGCCAAATCCCACACCTGCTCTTCCAAAACTACCCTGTGAACTTCTACAGCTAAGGAGGGCAAGTAGTGTTCTTCTGGCTTTGGGGACCCATTCTGGAATCCAGAAATAGATATAGTATTCTAAGATCAGGGCCAAAGAAACAAGAAGGGCAGAAGAGAAAACTAGGCAGAGGCATAGTGTGGAGTCAGTTAAAGAACAGGATCTTTTCAAAGAACCAACTCCTAGTTTTGTTGATGGTTTCAATTTTTTTTGGGGGGGTTTCTATTTCATTTATTTCTGCTCTAATTTTTATAACTTTGGGTTTTTTAAAGAGTGTTGGGTTTTCTTGCTGTTCTTTTTCAATTTGTTGGAGATGTTGGGTTAGAGAGTCAATGGTAATTTTTTCCTGCCTTTTTAATGTGTTTGCTTATTACTATCAATTGACCTCTGATTATTGCTTTGGCTGTTTCCCAGAGGTTTTGGTAAGTGACATTTTCATTGTCACTTGTTTCAAGAAACTTTTTCATTTTATTTTTTATTTCTTCTAGTACCCAGTCATGTTCAAGCAAGGTGTTGTTCAGCTTTCAAATGTATGGTTTTTTTCTTATTTATCCTCTTGTTATTAATGGAAATTTTTAAAAAAGCAATAATTTTAAAAATATTATTTAGAGTCAGATAATTAAATAGTAAAAATAATTTTTAAAAAGAACAGGATCTTCAAATTGATCTTACCATTTGGTATGCCGAAAAGTCGATTCTGACTCATTGGGACCCTAATGAACAGTAGAACTACCCCTGGTGTTTCCTGTACTTTTCTGTCGTCTCCAGATCAGATTGTTATGTCTTTTTTCCTTCAGAGCAACTGGTAGGTTTGAATTGTCAAACCTCTGAATAGTAGTCAAACCCATATTCATTGACCCACCAAGGCTCCTTTACACATGTAAAGGAGGTAAATGAGGATAAAAGAATAGATCATCAAGTATCTTTCCAGTGGAGTTCATGAGGCCAACTTCTCTCTATATACTCAGCTTTTCTCAGCAGGCACTGATGTCAGTGCACAAGGCAAACAATTAGAATTTGGAAGATGTGGTACAGGTCACAAAGAGAACAGGAAAGAAGAGCCTTGCTTTACAGTGGCTGCAGGGGATGCTATAGGTCCTCATGTTAACGGGCTGTCAGCAGCAGAACCCCAGAAATTCCTTCAGCAGCTTCCCATTGCCTCCTGATCACTTGTACCTGCCAAGTGCATTTCATGGCAGGGGCCTTTGGTAAAAGCTATCTCAGAGGCACCCTTCACTTGGAGTTAAATCTAAATTCATTGCTATATCCCAAGTTATGAGTTCCAAGTTCATATTTTAACTGAGAACATGCAGAGCATTAAGATAGCATTGTTTCCTGGATGCTGATGCCATGGAAATTTGAGATTGGTATTATAGGTAGAGAAGTTAAGGAACCGAGAATTAACTTCAGCAATTAGAAAATGGCACAGCTTAGGACACTGTCTTACTGGATTGGGAAGATCTTCATAAACTCTGTCTAGGAATAAGCATGGTAACCACAGGTAAATCCTTGATGGTATAACTAATGTCGTGACAACAATTAATAAGATTACCTTGGCACAAAAGAAAAAAAAATGGATGAATGCCAGTGAAAAATCTTCCTGAATATCCCCAAGGTAACCCACAGATCTCAAGAGCTGTGAAATGGAACTGTCTAACTCACGAGCCAACATTTAAACTCAGCCCAGATGGAAAAGGCAAATGACTGAGCAGGCGAGCTCTGCCACATTTGCCTTTGCCAGTATCTTGTAAACATTTGTTGGGCATATTAAGCAGCAGTCTTACTCTCCAAGTCAGAATCTTCCTTTCGTTTGCTTCTTAGGATGTCTAGCCACTAGATGGAGACTTAACGGCTTCTGTCAACGACATAATAACAAAAGAGGCAGACAGATGGCTGACCCTGGGGTGTCTCGGTTGCATTCACATGATATTCCTAATGGGAAGGTTTCTAGAATGGTGCAGGCTAAACAAGATGGGTTAATATAGGAAGACAGACAGGAGCTAGGTGGTTCTGGATGAAGGCTGCTGACTACTGCCAGCTCTTTGCAGACAGCATTTGGCAACCCAAACCTGCTCTTCTGAGATGCAGAACTCTCCAAGTCCTGAGCCAAGATGTCCCTACTGACTGTGAAGCACTCTTTTCCATGCATGTGCTAGAACTCCCTCCTGCTGCAGGATTCTCAGACATTGGGCCTTTTCTCACATTGAGTCTTTGAAAGGTCCAACACTGCATTCACTGAGTCTGCCCCCATTCTGTTACAGCTCCTGGCAAGTGAGCCAAAAGAAAGACATTCTTAGAGCTGGACTGGGAGCTACCTGGAAGCTTTTGTTAGGGGCCAGTGGAGACCTTATTGTGCTACAGGATGAGTCACAGATGGGTGATTTTTAAGAAGCTGTTTCCTCTGTGACCTCTTATGCTAGCAGGGATTGCAGGAGCTACTTTGCAGGGTGTCTCAAGGGCCAAGCCAAAAAAACTTACTAATATATACTAATAAAGGTGTGGCTAAAATGAACACCCACTGGGGACCATTTACATTAGCACATTTAATCCTTACCCTTTTGTGAGATAAACATGAAGGCACAGAAAGGGAAAAAGAAATTGCCCAGAACCACCCAACTGGTAATCCCCACATTTAACCACAATAAATACTGTTGGTAAATTCCATGTCAGTTTATAGTCCTAGCTGCTTGGGAAAATAGATAAGAACTTGAGGAGCTTTCATAGTCTGTATAAGGGCCTCTGTGCTTTGCTCTGGGCTATCTAGCAAGATACTGTATGCGAGAATACAGAGCTGTCAGTAGCCATGATAAGGAAAAGATTTCTTTGTTGCTCTAGCCCTGCTAATAGCTTCCTCTGTAGGCCTGAAAAGAGTGCCCAAGCTCTTGAATTCTGAGTATCTATTTCAAAATAGCTACCATTCTTTTTTTTCCTTATTGGATTATTAAAGGTAGATTAACAAAGTAGATTTTTTCATAATCTTCAGATTCTGGGAAAGAATATTGTGCAATAATGAGGTGTTAGCCACTGGACACAATTTGTTAGATAGTCTGCAAAATGAGGAATATAAGTGAAAAACAGCTACCAGCATTCATCAAGCACCCATTAAGAACACTACTATATGTGTTATCTAGTACCATCAATTTTGAGTGTTGACATATTTATGTGGTTTCTCTAGCAGGTATAAAGAAACATTGCTATGATGTTTATGAAATATAGATGGAACTATCATTCTTAGATCTTAGTCAGTTTTGGATCCTTAAGAAGAAAGAAAAATAATTTATGTTGCTTACATCCTTATGGGTTCAGTTGGTAGAATATCCACACTTGTTGGGCATCATACTTTTGATAGTTTTCTAGCTCTCAAAGAATTTATCTGAAAAAGTGTTTATCTGCATGATTTCTACTGGCTTCTGTCTTTCCAATAGGTGTTGAAAGGAGACGCATCTATGACATTGTAAATGTGCTAGAGTCACTGCAACTGGTCAGCCGTGTGGCCAAGAATCAGTACGGCTGGCATGGACGGCACAGTCTGGCAAAAACCCTGAGGAACCTCCAGAGACTAGGAGAGGAGCAGAAATATGAAGAGCAGATGGCACAACTCCAACAGAAAGAGCTAGACCTGGTGGAGTACAAATTTGGAGAACGGAAAAAAGATGTCTACCTTGATTCTCAAGACCAGCATGTACTGGATTTCTCTGAACCTGACTATCCTTCTTGTGAGTCCATTGTATCCACATAAGTATGGCAGAGAGCATGTGCGCGTCTCTTCTGAAGAGATTACAGTTAGGTGGAATGTGCCAGGTTGACAACCTTGGAGAGAAGTGTCCTCTTAGCCTCTCTCCTGGAGAAAGGGAGACAGATGGGTCCCCTGCTGAGCTGCCCAGTCAGCCTTATTTGAAGCCTATCTAGTGGCAGTTCACTTGCTTTTTGATGTTTTTGAAACACAGACACTAACAGGATCCCTGTTTTAGGTTGGCAGCCCCTTTTTTATTCTCTTTGTGAACTATTAAGTAAAAATTACAGTCTTTAAGGAAATTATGTATGTGTATATATATCCATATACATATACCCAGTCATGTGTATCCATATCCACAATCCACAGATACAGATTTTCAAAAAGAAGAATTCTTTTTACCATAAAATGTTGACATAAAGAGTTAACCTTTGTTTTCATTTCATGGAGAAATATTTTTGGACTTCTATCTCTATTGTCCCTCCTCTCCGTCAACTCATTTTTATCGGAGCTTCCTCCTGTTTTTACCCATTGATCTGCATCATTCTTACCCTTTCCCTATTGCTAAGATGATAAAGTGCAAAGATCACTCACATTTTAATTGCAAATAGTAAAAATGGAAAGAATGGTGGACTGGTTTTCATTAGATTCACTGCCTTATGCCTTTAGTTCCACCCCGTGAGCCAGTACTGATCCTAATAACCAGAGGAGAGAGCCATCTGTCAGAGATGGTTTCCCTGCCATCCATAGCTAATCAATGTCTTCTGTTTACTTACATTTTACTTATTCACTTACTTGGGAAGAGAAGTGGAGACATTGAATACCTACTATGTTTAGAGTATAGTCTAGACATTGTGGTACAGAAAGGTAAAAATGGAGTCCGGGGAAGAGTTGATGTTCTGAATACAATGCCTAGTCCTTTTCAGCCTTTTATTCTCCTGCATTCATCTTTTGAAAAAGTCACCTCAAGAAGACAGTCTGCATCATGGATTCTATTATTGAATCCATGATGAATATAAAGCATTCATAGAAGTTTAAAATATGCATTTTAGAATCTCTGCCTACAGCAGAGTAATTTTATGAGCCACAAGAAAATCAGCCATCTATCGTTATGGGCCAACTTTTGTGATGTATGTCCAAAAAAAGGTTTCTGCCTATAACAAAGATAGTCTTTCCATCTGCTGGTTTCAAAGCTCGATGACTCTACACGCTGTAAGTACAGCCTGCATGGGGGCAAATGGTGTGTTTTGATGCTTTTTCTTTTCCCCTTTGTAGCATCTGCAAATAGTAGAAAAGACAAATCCTTGAGAATTATGAGCCAGAAGTTTGTTATGCTGTTCCTTGTATCCAAAACCAAGATCGTTACCCTTGATGTGGCTGCCAAAATACTGATAGAAGAAAGCCAAGATACTCCAGATCAGAGTAAATTTAAAAGTAAGAATCTTCACCTCCATCTGTTTATCAGCACTGAAAGGGTGGGGTGATTGCATAATGTTGGTATTTTCTGCCTGTGATGTGCCGAATTCTTTGGAGAAGGGAATGAACTGCACTTGTTTCTGCTTTCATTACGCCTGTCGGTGTTGTGTTGTAGGTATTGTTAGTGACTCAGGCACAACAATGCCTCGTCTGATATTTGAGTCCGTCCTTGTAGCTACTGCGCCCAACTACTATCCCACCAAAGGACTTAGGGTCTTTTCCTTCTCCGAACATGCTTCTCATCTAGGGATTGATTTCCTCCAGTGGTGCCTCTAAAGTCTGACATTATTCTTTTGTGATTTCTTCACTCTTCAGTTTTTTATTTGCTACTCGGGGCGAGTAGATCCTCAGGCCTTTCTTTATAGTCTTAGTCTGGAAGCTCCACTGAAACCTGTCCACTATGGGCAACCTGCTGATACTTGAAATACAGAGGGCACAGTTTGCAAACCATAGCAACACACAAGCCACTAACATTCTCCACACTGACAGCAGACAGAAGACTGGTGCTGAGAATGCTGTTAATCATATACTAGAATCCCCACTAAAATCCATCCCTGGAGGGTTACAGTGTATGGTGACAAGAGCATCGTCTCCACAAACATGGTCAAAATGGGCTTCTTGGGAGTGTCACCACCTCCAAGAAGGAAAGCCTGAGTTTTCACTCCCTTTTATTCCCTGTCCTCTCCACACACTTCTGAAGGATGGAGGTGAAAGTTGTCTATAGGTAAGAACAGGGCAGGGTAAGGAGGTGGGACGTGGTCCTGGACTTACCGAGTTCCACACCAAATGCATCAGTCTTTTCCGTCAGCAATCTCTGGTTGAGCCAAGTATGTCTGGCTGCTGGTAGCCTTTTCCAGCCCTGGGAAAGCCACTAGCTCAACATTCTCTAGCTTTTTCTCTCTCCAGCTGGAATCCCAGCTATCCTGTGGGGAAAATGGCTAGAGAAAACTTGGATTCTTGCTTCAGCATTGGAAAGAAAATCGCATCTAGGTGACTGTCCAATGTTTCTGAACAGGGATCAAAGCTCCTTTGCTTGATCCCAGCCCTGGAGCCAAAGAGATTTCCTCACTGTCAGTTATTTTCTGTATTGAGGAGACTTTATGGTCATAGCCCTTCCTTTTCAGTGTATTATCCCTCTCTGAGTTTTTCTTCTGTTGTTGCATTTTCAAATGTCTCTCGCAAAGCCTCTTAAGACTCAAGAATATTCCCACTACTTCCACCTCTCTGACCCTGTGTGGCTGAGTTGATAAAAATGCCGGGGTTTCGGGCGAGGAGCTGCCTGTCTTCTGCAGCTGTACCTCGTGACCTTGAGTCCTGGCCCCACAGTGCTGCTTTGACAGGAAGCTCTGGGAGTCCCTGTCATTTTCACAGGCCAGTTTGTGCCATGACCCCCTGCTGGAAGAAACTCAGGGCCAGCCTTTTATGTGCTACCCAGCAGAATTACATTTACTAAGACTTTAATTAGAGTCCATCTTCTTCCCCTGGTGTTTTTTGCAATTCCAGTATACCCCTGCTTGTCACTAGGTAGATCTTGTCAGAGGTGGCAGGTTGTGGGAATGGAAGGACATGCTGACCTTTCCTTAGTATCTTGCTTCAGATCCAGCGGGTACATAAATCCTGTGCGACTTAATGCCTGAGCCCCTGGCTCTCTTCATCTCACCACATTGCTTTCTGCTTGACGTTTTCGGTGGCCCAGAAAAGTTACCGATCACATAAACTAAAATATAATGGTGTCAGGAATCACATAATCATAATTGTGCTTTATATCTTCAAGCAAAGGTACGCCGCCTCTATGACATAGCCAATGTTCTGACCAGCTTGGCCCTGATAAAGAAAGTGCATGTCACTGAAGAACGAGGTCGTAAACCAGCCTTCAAGTGGATCGGGCCTGTGAACTTCAATGCCAGTGGTAAGGCAGCTTGCTTGTCCTAGAGAGCTGGTTATTTATGATCTCAAGGTCGAGTTATATATATACTTCATAGGGAGATTTCTTTTTTCCCTCCTCATTTTCTGTGTTGGTGATTGGCATCAAGTCTGCCCCTAATCGGTGGTGGCCCCATTCACAGTGGACAGATCTGTGATCCGTATTATTTCTATTTGCTGATTTCTGAGAAGCAGATTACCAGGTCTTTCTGTTTGTTCTTAGTCTGGAAGCTCTGCAGCATCCCAGCAGCATGCATTGTGTCTTTTCTGACAAACCACCAGTGGCTGCTCATGAGGTTCACTGACCTCGAATCAAACCTAAGTGTCCTTGGAAGGCAAGGTGTCTACCGTTGTACTGCCGCATGTTTTCTATGCCAAACAGTCACACACATTGTCACTCAGTAGCTACCTTGTTGGATAGACTAGGACTGCCCTGTAGGGTTTCCAAGACTAACGTCAACACAGAAGCAAAAGCCTCATCTTTCTCTTGTGGAGATGCTGGTGGGCTCAAACCACTGACCCTTTAGTTAGCAGCTGAGTGCTTTCTCACCGTAGCTCTAGGCTTTTCCACATGAACCATGTGAGACATAAAATTAGACCAATAATCTCACTGTTGGTACAATAAACGTTAACTTACAAACTGTATGTACTGTTGAATTCATGCATCATACAGTCAGGAGGCCAGGAAGAGACTGAGAGCTTCTCGTTTGGGAGGAGCTTCTATGATTGCTCTTTAGAAGTTGTGTTCTCCAGAAATGTGGGACTGGCGATTTAAAATGACCCTTCTCTTGAAACTCCGGTTGTTTCTACATTAGCAAGACAGAGTAAGGTTTTTCTTTTAAGTTGCAGATAATTAAGGAATTATATAAATTCCTAGCACAAAATTATTATGTGGTAAAATTGCTTTTGACTATAATGTAGAAGTAATGAATAACTTTTTTATAATTACTTAAAAGGTTACAAGTGTCCTAATTTTCTCAAACTGAAATAAGGTATTATCTTCTTATTTCTTAGGTTACATATCTGAGCAGTCAAGGACTAGATCTTAACCACACGAGCCATTATTATACATGTAGCTGGGCTAACTAGAGAGGCGGGTGGGGGGGGGGGGGGGAAGAAGCAATTAAAGTTATTATTTTAAATTACCCTTGCAATTTTGGTGCTAGTGGTATAAATTTGTGTCACTTAACACAAGTTTATAGAAGACAAAGCTCTCTCTTTCTCTCATCTCACATTATTCACTTAGGATCTAGATGGAGCCACTTAAAATTTAAATATAAATAAGTTAGCCAGGTGAGTACATGCTGTTGTGGACTGTGTACCACTTATGCTACTGAATACCAGAAGAGAATCCGAGAATGAGTCTGGAGATAATGAGAGTGTGCTATATAATCAATGATTCATTCATTGCATATTCTTTTTGTAAGAAACATAAATACAGATTATACACATGGATTTCACCTGGTGGTATGTATAGGAATCAGATTGATTACATCTGTGGAAAGAATCATTGGAGAAGCTCAGTATCAGCTGTGAAAACTAGGCCAGGAGCTGATCATGGAACAGACCACCAACTACTCATATGAAAGTTCACACTGAAGCTAAATAAGGTTAAGTCAAATCCATAGGAACCAAAATTTGACTTTGAGTCTATCCCACCTGAATTTCAAAACGATCTCAGGAACAAGTTTTGAGGCCTTGAACACAAATGCATGAAGACCAGATGAGCTGTGGGAGAATACCAAGAATATCATCCATGAAGAATGCAAAAGAGCATTACAAGACAAAGGAGGAAGAAAACCAAGATGGATGTCAGATGAGACTCTGAATAGTGCAGTAGAGCACCAAGAAGCCAAAGCAGAGGGAAGAAATCAGGAAGTGAAGGAGCTAAACAGGTTTCAAAGGACAGCGTGGGAAGACAAAGCCAAGTATTATAATGTGCAAAGAACTGGAGTCAGAAAATCAAAAGGGCCAAACTCACTTGGCATTTCTTAAGCTGAAGGAACTAAAGAACAAATTCAAGCTCGAGTTGCAATACTGAAGGATGCTTTGGGCAGAATATTAAATGATCCAGGGAGCATTAAAAGAAGATGAAAAGCATATACAGAGTCATTATACCAAAAGGAATTGGCAACACAGAAGAATTTTATGAAGCAACATATGAGCAAGAGCCTGTGGTGATAAAGGAAGAAGTTCAAGCTGCTCTGAAGGGATTGGCAAAAAACAAGGCTCCAGGAATTGATGGCATACCAGTTGACATATTTCAGCTAACAGATGCTGCCCTAGATGTGCTCACCAAGTTGTGCCAAGAAATCTGGAGGACAACCACCTAGTGGACTGGAAGAGATCTATATTCCCATTCCAAAGAAAGTTGACCCAACAAAGTGCAGAAATTATCAAACATTATCTTTAATATCACATGCAAACAAGATTCTGCTGAAAATTACCCAAAAACGACTAGAACAGCACATCAACAGAGAACTGCCAGAAGTGCAGGCTGGGTTTAGAAGAGGCTATGGTACTAGGGATATTATGACTAATGTTAGGTAGATCTTGGCTGGAAGCAGAGAATACCAGAGTAATGTCTGTTTCATTGACTGTGTAAAGACATTTGACTGTGTGGATCACAACTGTGGCTGACTCTGAGAAGAATAGGAGTCCCAGAACACTTGATTGTCCTTATATGAAATGTATACTTGGATCAGGAGGCAGTCGTCAGAACAGAGCAAGGAAACACTGCATAGTTCAAAATCAGGAATGATGTACACCAAGGATGTATCCTATCGCCATACTTCTTCAATCTACATGCAGAACAGATCATCCAGGAGGCTGGGCTCTATAGGGAGGAATATGGCATCAAGATTGGAGGAAGACTTATCAACAACCTACAACATGCACATACAACCTTGCTTGCCAAAACTGAGGAGGGCCTAAGGCATTTGCTGCAGAAGGTGAAGGACAGTAGCCTTAAATATGGATTACATCTCAACATCAAGAAAACAAAGATTCTCACCACTGGGATGATTAGCAACATCATGATAGATGGTAAAGAGAGACTGTTAACAGCTTCAGTTTACTTGATTTCAGCACTATTGGTACTAGCAGTCAGGAAATCAAAAGATTAATTCCATTGGGAAAAGTCTGCTGTAAGGGACTTCTCTAGAGTACTCAAGAGCAACGATGTCAGTCTGGAGACTAAGGGGTGCCTGATCCAGGCCATCGGTCTTCGCAATTACTTGCTCTGCATCAGAAAGTTGAACAATGACTAGAAATGATAGGAGAATTGATGCCTTTGAGCTGTGGTGTTGGAGACAAGTATTGAATATACCATGGATTGCTAGAAGAACAAACAAGTTCATCCTATAGAGGGTGAAACCAGGTTGCTCCTTGAAGGCAAGGACTCTGAAGCTCCATGTGACATACTTTGGACATGTTGCAAGGAGGAATGAGTCCTTGTAGGGGGATATCATGATTGGAAGGGTAGAGGGACAGCACAAGAGAGGAAGACCTTTGATGAGATGGATTGACTCAGTGACTGGAGTAATGGGGGTAGGTGTGTCAGACACAAGAAGGATTGCTCAGGTTAGAGCAGGGTTCAGAGCTGCTGTATATAGGATTGCTATGAGTCGCAAGTGACTCTACAGCCCATAACAACCACAGCAACAACAAAATGCCATTTCCTCTCATACTCTTTTCACCCATTAGCCCTCTCTTCTCCTTGGCTGCTTCTCCGTGGAACAATATTCTGCTCTCCCCTCAAACCTGGCTCAAACATCACTTCCTTCTTGAAGTTTTCCCTGAATACCCAAAGAAGAACTCATCTGAATTATTACCGTCTCATTTTTGTACTCGGTGATGTTGATGTTAGTCTGCATGTGTGAGGCTGGAGAATGTCTTTGTTCATCTTTGATTGCCTAAGTCTGTCTTGTTCATATTAGGTGGTTAATGAGCTTTCATCAGAGGAGGAGAGTCGAACACCTTTGAACGTTAGAGCACAATTAAGTGCTACATGGGGTGGTTCTGGCTGTATAGGAAATAATTCGGAGAGATTAGTTTGCATGAATGGATTTCCACATTTTGGGGAGAATGAGTGGAGAAACTTTTAGTTGAAGGAACAAAATAAGTAAGAACAAGCTTTGTTTCATGGGGAGACCAACCACTGAAGGAGTTAAGAGAGAAAATAATGAGAAATATGATTTGGTTTGTGAGAACTGCATTTTTCTTGTTTGGCTTTGGCTATCAACAATAGAAATTTATTATCTTGGTATCCTGAAGGCTAGAAGAAGGAATTTAAGTGTCATTTGGGCCTTGCTCCCTCGCATGTAGGTAAGGGAAGATATTTTTCTCCCCTTTTCTCAGCTTCTAGTGTAGACTTTCCTGGACTTACAGATGCATCATCACATGGTCATTCTTCCTCTGGTGTCTCTATATCAGTGTGTCCTCTTCTCATTTCAAAGGTCATCAGTCATACAGTTAGGATTCACCCTTCTGTATTTTAACTGATTTTACATTTTAGCTGATAACAGCCTTTTAAAAACCTGTTTCCAAATAAGGTCACATTGACAAGTACATAGCTTGGGATTCCAGAGTGTCTTTTTAGGGGATACTATCTGGTCCATAACAGACACAAAGGTGGTTAGATTGTTGTGTGAATTGGGGCTACATGGGGTCAGAATAGCTGAAAACAGGACATAGGGGCACAAGGCCATAAGCATGTCTCTGAAAGGGCCAGAGTACTGAAAGTACTCTCAAAGTACTGAAAGGGCCCCTCACTGCCCCAGAGCAGAAAGCATATAAAGAGCCCGTAGTCCACCCCATCGTGCCTCCCACAGCCACAGCAGCAGCAAGGGAATGTATTCGTTGCTGAATGACAGTTATGGTATTAAAAATGGGGTTTGTTAGGGAAGGAAGTTGGAGAGTAGGGGAGACAAAGAATGGCTCCAATGCAAACCCAAGTTTTAGCACGTCAGTCCCAAGGCACAATTC